GTGATACATTTTGAAAACAAAAATACAAAATAAACGCAATCAGAGGCGCCAACCACGGGCGTTGGAAATAAATAAAACGTGTTGTGACAGTCTCACCAAACTCTTTCACTCGCCCAATATAATTATGTTATTTCCCAAAGCACTTATATTTAATACATTGACGAAAAACACCGCAAGAAAAATGTAAATCAGGCTTATTATTACTAGTAACTCTACTCGAACGCAATGTTGATCACTGTAAAAGTGGATAAATTCGAACCGTCATCAAATTCAAAATTCAAGCGATCTCGTTGAATGTCAAAAATAAACTCGATGTTTAGAAAGACAAAAACAACACCATATTAGAGTGCAAAAAAGTTAGCAGCAAAGAACGAGAAGTGCATGTGGGAAAGCGATGAGTGAACTCCATCGTATTTTTTCAACGGTCATTCTATAAATTTCTGATTGTATTTATTCTTATTTTAACATCATAAAAACAAAAATGATACACTTGTACATGAAACAGTAGGTAATGAACTGTAAATGCGGGCGGTTGCGCTGTCAGGCGAGCGAGCGAACGACCGATTGCGCCAGCGGATACCCCGCGGATTTGCGCGGTCGAATTGAACAAAGCGAGCGAAAAAAAAGCGATCGAAATCCGGAAGCGGGCGGGAGGTTGGGCGAAATGAGTACTGTATCACAGAAATTTTAAGTCACTGCTTTTGGGGAGATTGTTTTTACTGGAATTTGGCTGTCACAAGCCTTTGTGTTGAATAAATATACCTTCATTTCTCGTTGACTTACAAGGAAATGTTTACTACTTGTTGCGAAGCACAAAATGGGAGTCTTTGCAGTTAGTGTGTGTGTATGTATGGGTGGGTGTGTGTGTGTGTGTGTGTGTGTGTGTGTCTGTCTGTCTGTTCCACTGATATCTCAAGAACCATACATCAGTTTTTGATGAAACTTGGTGCACAGATGCTCTGGGGCAATGCGCAGGTTTGATTAGTTTTTTTGGTTAAAATCCGTGCATATTAATTATCTAATTTGCATGATAATTAGCTGATTTTTAGCTGTTTCATGACTGTTCTACTGATATCTAAACAACCACTCATTGGATTTTGATGAAACTTGGTACATAGATGCTCTGAACTAATACTAGGTTTTGATTAGTTTTTGGTAAAAATTACCTAATTACTAATTACCTAATTTGCATAATGATTAGTCAATTTTTCGTTTTTTCCACTGATATCTCAAGTACTAATCATCAAATTTCAATAAAACTTGGTACATAGATGTCATAGGACACTGCACAGACCTGGTAGTTTTTAGGGTAATAGTGCATATTAATTACCTAATTTGCATAATTAATTTTCAGCTTTTGATGTTTCAAGTAGTAAGCATTACATTTCAATGAAACTTGATACATACTCAAGGACTATGCAGAGATTGTTTTGGGATAAATATTTGTGCATATTAATCACCTAATTTGCATAATTAATTAATTTTCAGTTTTCACACTAATTTCTCAAGTACTAATCCTCACCTTTCAATGAAACTTTGTACATGGATGCTGTAGGACAATAGACAACCCTGGATAATTGTGGGTTAAAATCTGTACATATTAATTACTAATTTGCATAATTAACCACTTTTAAGCTATCACACTGATATCTAAAATACTAATTATTCCATTTCAATGAATTTTAGTACAAAGATGCTCTAGGACAATGTACAAACCTAATTAATTTGGGGTTAAAATCTGTTTATATTAATTCCCTAATAAGCATAATAATTCATTTTTGTTGGTTCTAATCACATTTCAATAAAACTAGGTACATAGATGGTCTATTACATTGCACAGGCTTCATTAGTTTCACACTCAAATCTGTTCATATTAATTTTCTGATTTGCATTTTTAGTTTTCAGCTTTTCCATCATTATCTCAATCAAGTACAAGTAATTTTGAATTATATTTAATGTGTCTCCAAAACTCTCAGCACATGGGAGTTCTTTCTAAGCTTTCTTTGATTTTATCTGTGTACATGTGCTCCATCTTTGTATGCACAATTTGTATGATAAAACACTCAACCATTGTAAAGTTTATGTTAATATTCTGGTATCACAATTTTATTTATTATTATTTACAAATGTACACAACTTTGAATATATACACATACATGAAACCAAGGTTTTGTGTTTTGAAGTTGGCTCAATCTATGATCAGCAATCTGAAAAATATATATTTGATCTTTTCATTAATACTATGAAATTGGAAGACTGCATGGAAATCTACATGGTGTGTACAATATTGTAAATGACAATGAAAAAAACTAACAATCAATGTGTGGGCCAATTTACTCTTCATACATTTTCAATGAGTTTATCTACATGAGTAGAAAACCATAGACAATCTATATATACCTGGTAAGTACTATATTCAGTGCAATGGCAGGTGGACAAGGTGTGTGGAAAAAATACCATAGTTTGTTGAGTTGGCATATCTTAGGTTAATTTTACGATTCATTTGTCAGGTTATTTGATCACGGCATATCATTTATTTCAGATCTCTTTTGTAAATATAAGTTTGCATAGAACTCACTTTGGCACTTTGTTGCAACTATAGTCTACATTAGAATTAAAAAAAAATACATTTTACCAAAACATGAGATGGTAAATTTGTGCATCACTAAAACAACATTCTGTGCAGTGGCAGTGGACCTAACAGTAAGCCTAATGATCAGGTATTATTTGCCATAAAAATACTCGTTTTAAAAATTATTTTATTACAAAATGCCAATTTAAGTTTGTAGATAACATGTTTTTTTTTGCAAAAAATACTGATTTATCTATTTCACTGTTTCCATTTTCCTGAAGTCTACCGTTGGTGGCGCTCTTTTCTGTGCTGGAGGAGCTGAATGCCGAAGGGCTCCTTTCATCATGTAGCAGTTATGTGATAGACTGACTGTGAGAAACTCGGCTGCTGAATCTGATCGTCTGAGAACAAAACAAACAAAATTATTACATCTATATGGTACCAATTAGATATCAGATACACAAGTCATTGAGATTTCAAGAAAATGCATACAAAAATGAAAGTATATGGAAACCCTTTCTGTACATCATTGCAATGGATTTAATCCTAAATAGATGATTTGTAACTTACGGATACTGAAAACTGCGAGCTGATGGTAAAGGTTCTTCTTTTGAATCCAAAGTAGAACTAGATGGAGTCCTAGATAACACTGCCCTCGGTAGTCCACTACCAGCCTTGTGATTAACACCAGTACCTCCTATTTGACCTCCCCAAGCTGATCTTGGTCCTGCCCGGCCACGAGATGGTCTACAAACAATATGTACATAGCATTTGTAGTATTCAGGACAATGATTATGTTAGTTGTTTGTCATTTCAATAAGCTACACTGCTACCAATGTTGTATAATCACGTAATAAGCTACACTGCTACCAAT